TTTTTTTTCTTTTGGGATTCCGATTCATCATCGAGAGATTTGGCAATGGGCGATCAGCCAGAATCGTCACCGGATCGAGCTTCTTCTGTGAATGAAACGAATTTGGTGACAAATCCAAGCGAGTACTTGGACCCGATAACCCGTGATGTGGAAAGGCGTATGAGCATGAAAGGACATCAGCAAACTTCCGGAGGGTCAGTGCTTTTTATGTTGATAAAAGAAAAAACTGCTTTTGGATGTCTCCGGCCCTCACAGGGAATGAATCGCTAAGGGATTGCTGAAAGAAACAGTGTGTAAGTAGCCGTTTTCCCTTTCTCTGTCAACCACTCATCTACTATCTGTTTATTCGTTTCGACGATAAACTGACATTAATTTTTGTCAGGGAGTCAAAATCGCCATCAGTTTACTTTATCGCGACCCTAAAAGTTAGTAAAGACTAGTGGTATACCCTCTATTTGTGTGTGTGTGTGTGTGTGTGTGTGTGTGTGTGGAAACGTCTAGATATATATATGTGTATGTGCACATGTATATCTATAATTATATACAATAACTGAAGTCATACAGCATAAAGTTAGATAAGGAAAATAATACAAAAAGGGTGACGAGGCGCTGGGGAGCCGAAGCTCCCCAGAAAGGGGTTAAATAGTGAAAATGGAGCGACTGTGCATCACAGAGATGGGGAGGAGTGCTCTTATATCCCAGTGGTCATTGATCACTAAGATTGCAAGACTTTAACGGAGTAGGGTTACCGAAGGTTGACCGGAGACCAGGGCATTACATCGTAGCGTCGCAGTTGTTCTTTACGCTATTTCTAATAAAAAACCATAAATAATTATGTGACATTTTATGTGGCAACTTATTGTAACTTGAAGAGAAATGACAACTTTACCAACTAGTGGTTGCTGTTAGTGCATGCCAAAAACTTTGCAATTTTCGAGCACTTTCGCCTCACACAAAATAAACTGCCGAGGAATTTTAACTTTTGATTTTAGCTTTAAATGTTTTAAAATAATTTTCCAAATGTGAGTGTGCATGCGTGTTTTAAAACTTGATGTTAGTGTTACTTGCTGTAATTACAAGGGAATTTTCATCGTTTCACCTTCTCAGAATTCGAGAATAGCACCAGTATGCCGTTTGTTGAAGCATTAATTTTTAATTCTTAGTTGAATTTAGGCCGAACAAACCGTTTCAGTGTTTTCAGATCGGAGAGTGGTCCTTCCTCAAGCTCGGCGCAAACATCGAGTGGTCTTGGCCGTGCCGCAGTGTTTGTGAAAGGATACGGAAGTTATGCGTCTGAGCTGTTCCGAGGTGCCTTCTTGCGAGCCAAAAGCGCCGTCTCAATGGGGTAATTTCCAAATTTTTTTTAAAATTTCCATTTTGTTCGGTTCAAGTTGTAATAATTGCAGGAAGCTTCCTTCGCTGATGGGCATTCGCATGCAGTTCTTGCTCGAGTCGTTAGAGGTGGCCTGAGGTCGGAATTGGCCCGATCAGTTTTGATTTTCTACTAAGCAACTATTGTCTGGAATGGCTTTGATATAATTCTTTAAGTTTTGCAAATTGTCCTGGTCCCCGTATTTAGCATTTTGTATAACGCAGCACTGGCAGTTCCGGGAGGGGGGCGGTTGTTTTACTGTACAAAATTTTGCTCGGTACCGTCTGTCGGCTTCTCCCTTCCCACCTCTCCCCTCCAGGAGCCTTATCAGTCTCAGTTTAGTGTCCACTGGTGACAAGGGGAGGAAGGGGGAGGGACGCAGCGAAACCTTCGAGAGAGAGGGGGGAGGCGTAGCGTGACGACTGAAGGGTGGGCTAGGAGTTGGCCGAGAGGGGAGGGAGGAGGGTTTAGTGACGAAGAGAAGGTGAAAAATCCCCTCCCTCCCCTCCCAAGAGCGCTCTGGATGGACCTTCCATAGTCTTGCCCTAGCACGGGAACATCCCATTAAAATCACTGATGTGGACGTTTTTGGCATTCTCGGTATTTGCATTCGAAAATTATTTTTTTTGAGAAATTTTGCATTCTGCAGTTCGTCATCAAAACTGTCGAAGGAAGATGAGGAAAGCTGTAATGAAAGTGATCGTGAGGATTCGTCGGTGGCTGAAGGCACACCAGTGGTGCGGCCGAAGAATTCGAAAAAAGGACCGTTTGATTTTGAGGGCACGCGTTGTTTTCAGGAGATCGATCACGAGCACACGGTATGATCTTTGATTTATAGTATTCCTTCATGTCGCAGCGACAATTTAATTGCTAAAAATACAGGAAATATGCTTAATTTTGCCAAGTCTTAGCTGTAAAGAGGCCTTAGCTGTAGCCTTGGTTGTAGAAAATCTCTACAGCCTTAGCTGTAATTTTGCCAAGCCGCAATTAGTTATATCAGACTTAAACTGTGTTTTGTTCAATGCGAAAGTGCCTAACAATATTTGTGTTTTATGAGAACATCGGTGATGCAGTTTTGTGGAAACGGAAGGACGCTGCTTAATCGGATAGTTAAATCTGAATGAGGAGGAGTTCATTTAGTCTTAGTAGCTGCAATATTCCTACGTTGTTGTAAGTCAGCCGAGTTTTCTGTTTGGCATTTCAAAAAATAAAAAAAATAAAAACGCCGAATTTTAAATTTTCGGTAACAGAAAGAATGTATTTTAGCTG